GGGGGATGGCCATGCCACAGTCCCTTCTCCTCCATTCTCCTCTCAGGATCTTGGGCACACACGCACACACACCTGTCATGAGTTTAAGCCACCGGGTCCGGGACTCGAACTGTGGTCGACTACATGGGAGTCCAGCAACATAGATATTACTCTAACTGCTGGCCCCCAGTATTTATTTATTTCTAACAGCTAGAGGGCACGGGCATGCCCCAGAGAGAGGGAGACCGCACTCCCCAGTGGGGTGCAGTCATGCCGCAATCCCTTCCCCTCTGCTTCTCCCTCCTGTTGGGATTTGGGGTATGCACACACATGTCCAAGCATGCATTTTCAAGCCACCAGGACTGGGATTTGAACCATGGTCAACTATGTGGGATCTAACTCCCTGAATCACTAGGCTATGTGGTTGACCCTCTTTTTAACGTTTCAAAAAATTTATTTCTTCCATGACAGAGAGAAAAAACAGGCACCCTCAACAGCGTCACATGCCATGAGCCTTCCCGTCCCAGCTGGCCTGGCTCATGGGCATGCACGTGCCTGGCATGCTCAAGGAAGTCCTGGGATGCGAACCCAGGACCTTTTCCATTGCCTGCCACTGCACCCCAGCAGGTCCCATGGGCCTCTCTCGCATGTACTTATGGGTTTTGTATCTGGAAGGGACTTAGGGAAACAGCCTGTAAGGCAGGAATGAATCAGACCCTGGGCACCCCAGTACCCAGCAAAGCTCTGTGGAGAGGTTGTGGTGGTTATGGTCGTGTTTGGTTTCCGAGCCACGAAACTCTGCAACGGCCTGACCAAATCGGAGTCTGCCCGTCTCCTGTATCGGGAGACTGCGACAGGCAGTCCAGGGCTGGGCCCTGCTCACAGTCGCTGAGGACCCGTGCCCTGCTAGCTGTCACCCCCCTGTTTATGTCAGGGACGAGGGAGCTGCTCCGTCTTCCCGGAGAAAGCGAAAGGTGGGTTCCACTGGAGTTTGCATTTTTGTTTTAAATCCAGGGAGCAATTGTTTCCCTGAGAGCCCCACCAAGCACACCTGCTGATGGCATGGGGCCACCCGCTCAGTGCAGGAAGTGTTTCCCGTCTGTCTTCCAGGAGAAAGCGAAAGGTGGGTTCCACTGGAGTCTGCGTGTTTGTTTTAAATCCAAAGAGCAATTGTTTCCCTGAGAGCCCCACCAAGCACACCTGCTGATGGCATGGGGCCACCCGCTCAGTGCAGGAAGTGAGTGTTTCCCCGTAGGCACGTTGGCAACATCGATGCACCCGAGGCTCCTCTGCTGGAGGAGAGATTGGAAGCTGGAGGAGGGCGTCGGCTCCCTCTGCCCCAGGATCCACAAACCGAGCCCAGTGAGAAG